TTTTGCTGTTGCCGGGGCTAGAGTGCAGTGGTGTCATCATAGCTCACTGCAGCTTCCAATTCCTGGGCTCAAGTGATCCTCCTGCCTCAGCCTCCCAAATAGCTGGGACTATAGGCACGAGCCACTGCCCAAGGCTAATTTTTCTATTTTTAGTAGAGACGGGATCTTGCTCTTGCTCAGGCTAGTCTGAAACTCCTGACCTCAAGTGATCCTCTCACCTCAGCCTCTCAGAGTGCTAGGATTACAGGCGTGAGCTACCGTACCCAGCCTGCTTCTTAAATCTTAAACTAACATGTATTTTGTTTTTCACGCTTAAGTAATGTATGGACAGATTCTTTTAAAAGAAAAAAAAAGAATTCATGACTATCCAAAGTTGACTTAAATTATTCGTATTAAAGTACTTTTCAAATATGAACAAATGTAAAATTTGGTATAAAATTAGGTATCTTTGATATCTAATACACTGTAATTATAGGTATTTGGATATGCACATGCTCTGTGAGTCATAGAATGCTATCTGTCTTGTCAACTAAATTTGAGTCTGAACCTGAGGTTCTCATGAGTCCTTTCTTTTGAAAGATGCATAAGGTATGAATAAGAACCTCACTGGGGATGGCAGTAGATCGAATAAGAGAATGACTACTGCAGCCTATTTTGAGATAGCCATGAATCCTAGCGTTCTTCTCAACTACACTAAATTTTCTGTAAGTTCACTGTCAAGATGTTAATATTCATATTTATTTGAGGCCAACGTTTATTATGAAAATTTTCAACATACAGAAAAGTTGAGAGTACAATGAACAATTGTATATCTACCACTAAGATTCAACAAGGATTTAGAATCAAATTACTATGATGAAAATAGCCATCCACAGAGCTTTACATATTAAAGATTATAATATAGGGTGGATATACAATATCTCCAGTTGATAAATGAACTCTTAAGCCTTACAAAGAGAATTACAGCCATACCTGCCTGACCGGTGCAGAGAGAAAAGTGTCTCAAGTGGCTGAAGAGGGCCCTGGACTAAGTCATTCCAGAGGCTGCGTCTGTCTTCTTAATCCATGTCCTAATTCTATAGAAAACACACTAAAAATCCTTTAAGCCCCATACTCAGAAGCTTTGCTCCTGAATTTGTAGGATGCTGGTAGAAGAAGCCTAACAAAATTTGGAGGAACTCTCTAGACTTTCTCTAGAGTTTCCATATATCCAGATCTTTCTGGATATGAGCCTCACCTACCTGTATCTTTAAAGGATGGAAGTTCTTACCAGAAAGCAGATGCCCTGAAATACAACCAAAACCTTTGGGTTCTTTGTCTCTACTCTTAATCCTGGAACTAGAGGTCTAGAAAGAGTGGCTACTATAAAAGGAAACACTATATTTTATTTTCAACTTGGAATTAAAATAGAAGAATGTTATCTATACATAATAGATCATTTTAAGAGCTATCTGTATAGTTCTCACAATAGTTAGTAATCTGAAATTCATATTCCACTCAAAAAAATGAGGTTTGTTGATACTGTTATAGGTTCTTTGAAGCACAAATTACTGTGAGTCCTGGATTTAAAACAGGTTCTATGGGATATAAATGAATATACACACACATTCTCTCTCACTAAAAATAGTACTTTCCTCTTATCCCATTTCACCCCTTTAGAGTGAGATGTCAGCTCATAGAGGAGGGGAGCTCCTCCTTTTCTTTATGTACCTACAACAAGTGCAGGGTAATGGAAAAGACTTGAATGCTTTTGAAAATGCATTCCAGTATGTATGTTTTACTTTAAGAACCTAGTTTTTGTACCATCTCTTTCTGGCAGCCCTGAAGGATATGAAGTTATGGATCCTAGCTGCCACACACACCACTGATAATAACAAATTAAAACGGATCTGGGGTAAATTAGATGCAAGGAATACATATGAAGCACTTATAAAATTATAGAAGTAGTTGTGATATAATAGTTTCATTACAAAGGGGTTTTTATTACATTTTCATATATTGCTTAATGAGTAATAGATTTTTGAAAGTATTTGATTCTTTTTGAATCACTCTATATTTATCATTCTACGGTGTGTGAGGAACTGTTAGCTTCTGTCATAGCTTCTCCTCCCTTCCCTGAATGCTCTTGAGCGTCAGTTTGGGGCTAAAGGGCTTGCCTGGATACTTGCTGATTCTTGCAGCCATTGTTTCCCACTCCGTGTTGTCATCCTTATTCACAAACATTTATCAGGCAGCCATTTGCTGTGAAAATAATGAACTTGTACACAGAAGTATAAAGAATGCCTAAACAAGCCTGAGTCCAGCTCTCCAGGCTCATGATCTAGTTAACATAAGAAATAATGGCCAAGTGCAATGGCTCATGCCTATAATCCCAGTACTTTGGGTGGTCAAGGCGGGAGGATCACTTGAAGCCAGGAGTCTAAGACCAGCCTGGGAAACATAGTGAGACCCCATCTCTACAAAAAATTAGCTGGATGTGGTGGTGTGTGCCTGTAGTCCCAGCTCCTTGGGAGGCTGAGGCAGGAGAATTGCTTGAGCCCAGGAATTCAAGGTTATAGTGAACTATGATCATGCCACTGCACTCCAGCCTGGGTAACAAAGTGAGACCCTATCTCTAAAAATAAATATCATTAGGACACAAGATATAAGACGCCAAAAAGGTTGAATTAACAGTGAAATATTATTGGCTTGCAAAGGAGAGAGAACTTGGTGAGGGCAGTCATGGTGAGGAGCCCTGCAAGACAAGCGTGGACTCACCGGAACTTGATGAAAAGATGGAATTTCGGTGGGCACTGATGAAGGAAGGGGTTCTAGGACTCTTAGGGCTAAGGGAAGTGTTTAAGCAAGACACAGGGTGGGCGTGTAGTTGTATAGGGAGCAAGGTGGCAAGGGAGAGAGGAGGCTATAACTCAATGAGATAGGAAGAGACACATTGTGGAAGATTTTGATGTCAGCCTAAGGGAGGACAGCCTCAGTTTTAGCAAAGTGGTATCATGAACCCCTCAATAATTCTCAATTATTAATATAATTAAAACAATTTAGCACTTTGGGGCACCGAGGATGAGGT